CAGCTGGGCAGAATTCTTTTATATCCTGCTATGACTGGCACTTTTATACACACACACAGGCTGTCTCTGTATGTCTCTCTCTTTAATACGCTCACTCACCACTCGTGCCATTATACACGCTGATATCCTTTTTCATCATGGGTCAGGCTACTACAAGGCTAGGCCAGATAGGAGGAGGAGGTTTTGCGCGTGTGTGTGTCTGTGTGTGTGTGTGTGTGTGTGTGTGTGTGTGTGTGTGTGTGTGTGCGGCAACTTAAACTGCTACAAGCATGTGTCTTCATCACCCTGACGTGAATGTGCAACAGTACATTAGTTGTTACAACCGTCGGCATCCTAGGATTTTCTTCTTTGTCTTTTTTTCTTTCTATTTTCTTCTCTTATTTTCGCTCTTATCAGGCAGCTTTCACGAGAGAGCAAAATGATCAGCCTTACCTGTTAATCAAATGTACCATAAGTTCATTCTTCTGTCTGACGTTCAAAGAACAGGGTGTTTTACTGCCATCCTGGTGACTTTTCTGCATAAACCACCATGTTAGTGTAAATTCAAACTAATTTGTTGCACCATAAAAATGCAATTAGCTAAAAGGGAATAGAACAGATGCAGGGAAGAGGGGGTGAGGCGATTATTTTAGCTGTATTTTGCCCATATGAACCAGAAGTCCATATAGATGAGAGGGAGGGGTATCTATAGCCCTTTGGTGAGTGGTGTAGTGGCCTGTGTGAAGCATGGATGATGTTTGTGGATTTTGCACCATATACTGTTGCCATAGCAGCATTAAGTGGTTGTTTTGTCATTCATATCACTCAAGTCAGAATTACTGTACATTCAAAGGATGAAATTTGAACTAATTTTTTAAATGTGTAACTTAGACGTTAATCATTTGATATTTGAGGAGGCACTGTGTATCATGCTTTATGAAACATCTTTAATCATGCATACACAAACACGACTAGAGAGGAAGACATGCACACGCACGCTGATGCCAGTTCACATATTAGCACTTGTATAGACATGAAGAACCCAGACAGGCCCATATTCCACTGGCTCCAAGCCGTAGCTATTGTATTGTGATAAATGGAGTGTCTCCTGTCCCTGTAGCCACAAGACCCTGCGGCGGTCCACAGGGAGCCTGGGGATGCTTGGTGGCCTTTCTCCCTGGTTTCCTGTCTCCTGACTCAGCACCAGCTGTGCACACTAGCAGGAAAAAGAACATGCAATGGTAAAAAATAATTCACTGGAGATTCATGGTATGGTATGACCCTAAGGCAGTCAGTTAGACAATAGTCTTTCTTCTACCTGACAGCAAGCCAGGCAAAACGTTTCAGAAGGGCTCCTCATGCTCTGCGGGATAATGGCCCCTATGGATGATGTCATGTAAGAGCAGGATATATGTGGTACTTACAGAAAAAGTGCCAATATGATGAAAATGCAATATGTTTTGTAATGACATACTGTAAAAGCCCTGTTTCATTGTAAATATATTTTTGCCAGTTTAATCTAGATAATCTGGATATGATTGCTGCTTGTTTAAATCACCACAAAACTGCATCCCATATGGAGACACTTAATCAAAAGCTGAACTTGGCAAATTTGTCTTGCAGTTTGAAGACAATCTCTGACAGTTGCCCTGGCTGACTCTATGCCCAGAAGCCACTCTGGCATTGAAGGAGACTGAGCTTTATGGCAACAATGGCAGGCGTGCCAGCGGAGCCAGGCAGTCATCATGGTAGCGAGCATGGTGGGCTGTCAGAGAGAGCTGTGTGGCAGCACTGTGCGGTTGAAGCGCCTGCTCCCTCCATAATGGAACAGCTGTTTGGAGCGCGGTGCGCCAGGGCGCTGGAGCACAGAGTAAATAGAGGAGAAGAGCAATGTAAACAGAGATGGGATGGCGGGAGCTGCTTCCCTGTTACCGTGAGAGGGGGTAAACACCCCAGAGAGCTAGACGCAGGGGTTGTCGACACAGGAATGCACAAACACCACTACACAGGAAGGTGTGGGTGTATTGTGAAAGAACGAAATGCTCTACCCCAGCCTCAGTTTCCTATACAATACCTGACCTCTATATTTTTATTTTTTTATGAGACGGATAATTACCAGAGTTAAGACAAGAATCATACCTGCTACCCCATATCCCAGTTTCTCACAATTGAAATCTTAATACTTGCCTATGGGTTTATTATCAACCAAATGCCGTAATTTTATTTGATTTTGAATGGAACTGATTAATTGAGCTCGAAGCTGATCTCCCTCCTAAGAGGGCCAATGGTCTTTATTATTTATGAGATATAGAGCATTTCCAGCTGTCCTGCACTTACAAATGGGATAGTGCGAGAAGGCGCCTGACCCCTTTTATGACAGGCTGTAACTTTTCCTGCTTTTGTTGGGTCAGTGGAGTACTGTGGACAGTGAGAGAACAACTGCGGCTGTTGGCACCGTATCGTTTTGTAACGTGACAAGAGGGACACAGGAAGACATCTATACGTGTTAGACCAAACCCAGATTCATGTAGGTGTTTTTTTAGGAGCTACAAGTGACAACCAGCCCCTCTGACCGACTGCGCAGTCTTCCTTCTTTTTTCCACAGCTAGGTCATGTGCACAAAATTGAGGCTTGGAAAGATTTGATCTTTTGGATTTAGACCCATTTACAAACAGCATCCATCCCCTGATTACGCAGTTTTCTGTGATTCCTGCCAAGCTAGATGAATACATTAGGGGTAAGCAGTTTAGGTCAGATACATATCTGAGATAGTTTGGGGCCATGTGGCTATGAAATCCCCATTTTCTCTTAACCTGAACTCTAGTGGACTATCCTCCCTAAATTGTATACTCATATGAAAATGCTGATTTCTCCTCTGTTTTCATTTTCCTCTTTCATTCATTCATGAACACACTACTGCTGTATCACACAACAGAAGGAAAGACATGGAAAAGTGTTAGAGGGATGATTTTTGGATAAAAGAGGATGTGACACAATCTTAACCCACAAACAAAAAGAGGGAAGACCCTGATAATGAGTCACGCATTTGTTATTTTTTCGGCGCCATGTAAACAGGGTGGCAATGTTACATCAGAGTTTGTGAGCAACATATGTAGCGAGGAGAAACAGTAATCCCATGTAATACTGTGAAAAGCTCTTGTAGCATAGCTGATACAGAATCTTTACAAGCCACTAATAATGAGCAACAGAGAAATGGATTAGGGGTGGCATGGCTGGATCTGGGCCACGGCAAGCAACACACAGCACAGTTAGTGAATTGACTGTGTGTTGGCATATGTGTCTGTGCAACACAGGAGTATGCATTAGTCCAGTGTATCCCTATAAGGAAGTGCAGGTATTTGCAAACAGCATGTGGTTCAGCATTCAATTCACCACCTGAAAGCCTTCCATAATGCCTGCTGTAAACACGCACACACTTTCAGCTTGTGAAGGTTTGATGCACTTCATGTTATTTCAAGACTCAGTCTTGAATCCATCGCTAAACAAAATTATGTTGTTTACTATCAGATTGAGCTGAAAGGCTCTCAAACCTAGCTGTAATTTTCCTTCTTCCCTTTACACTTTTTATATACTACCATATTTCTCTCATCTGCAAGTCTAACCCTTTCATACTTGTATAAATCCAAATGTGGACATCAAAGACCTTCTATGTTTTTCACGCTGAGGCTGCACTTTTGCTCCACTACATAGAGAAATTGCTTGAAAGCTTCTGTATTACTTCTGCATACAGTATAGTTGAGGTTATTCCACAGTTGCTGTTACTGTTCCATAATTGATATACTAAAAAACAGGCTTTAGTGCCCTTTAAGAAGAAGCAGTCAGCGTCTGAGTGATTTGTTTGTCCTACTCTCTTCTCCCAGCACCTTGTTAAGACCCAAGACCTCACCTCAACCCCACTGCTACACGCACACACACACACACTCTGCTGTCTGTCCCCTGTTCAACCCCCTCGCAGTCAGAGGCCAGACAGGGTCAAGCAGAGGGCGAGACTTTTATGAGGTGTAGATATTTGTGCAGGAAAGCATTCCTCCTGTTGACACTGAGCAACACAGTCTGGATGCTGAGCGAGCTGAACCAGACAGGCACTGAAAAATAAGGCAGGCAGATCAGTCTGTCGAGTGAGAGGTAACAGAATCCAGGTTGCAGACTTTGAAATGAGGAAAGAAATTTTGCAACTTTGGTGCATTGACCTGTTTTAGTGACTTTCCCACAGATATAGCCTGTTTAGTTAGGGTTAGAGTGCATAATTTGTCAAAAATATCTTATATATCTTATCTCACAACTTAAATTGTCCTTATTGGATCCCTGATTAGTCTTATCTTGACTGTGTCTAAGCACAGAGAAGTAATGAAGCAAAACCCTCTCAAAACATGATAATAACCTGAACACCCCCACACACTCACTCTTAACCCCATCTTCAGCTCCAGTGGTGAGGAGAGTCCCTCCTACCCCCATGCTGTGGATGCAGGAAGGGCCAAGGCTCAGACACGGGGCAGTGGCCATAGTCAACACTAAAGGTTGTGGTGGTAAACAGAGCTGTTTGTGTTCACTGGACCACTGTTGGAGATGACTGATGTGCCCATTAGCCCCTGTCTGGGCATTAGGGGGAGGGGTAGCAGCGCTGGGGCTCCATGCAGGACAAAAAGACCCCTGGGCTTGCAGAGAAAGGTCACTGACCCATATTGTGTCTCCTTTAGGCCTAGCTAGTGGTTATTTCACTGATTCAGGTTACAGAGACTGGCTTTGTTAAAACTGATGAGCATGTATCCAAATGGACAGATGCTGTAGGTTATGGTTGGTGTGGTGGGCTAGAGGAATATACCTGCTGCTCCAGGCACTGAATGGAGAAGGGTTCATATTACTGCTGGAATTTTGTACATCATTGTATATTAAAAAATCCTAATACAGTGTGTATTGTGTGTGATGTAGTGTGCTTTTTGTTCCACTAGAGAGCGCCCTTCTTTACATTTGTGCTTCATTTAAGAGATGTGAAAAATGTATATATATAAATCCCTTTATTTTGATCAGAAACAAACATTCAATTTGAATAAAATCTTACATTTTTTGTTATGGTATTTATTCATTTATAAAAATCTTGATCCTTTACCACAGATGTATTAGTAAAAATTGCAGCACAAATACAGAAATTACACATTTACAAATCTTGAAAACATTAACACACTGAATGCTGACAGACTTCTTTCAAAGGCTTGGGACAAAATGGTAGTTTTAGTTAGCTTTTGGGCCGATGTCCTGGTTTTCCCTAACCCCATAGATACACCAACAAAGAACCAGTTCATTTTAAAAAGAAAGTAGGCAAATGTACTTTATCATGAATCACGAAATTCAGTCAGTCAACATCATATTTACAGAGCTTGGCAGCTAAACCCAGTAGGCTTTATTTGATGCTGTGACAGATCTGTCTCTATTTACTAAGGAACTCAAAGCTCACATAAACTTAGTTCAGCCAGAGACACTTACATCAAAGGATTTATTGCAACAAATAAAAGAATTTGGCAGAAAAGTGGCCTTGTGCTCGATGGTGCTTTACAAATGAATTCAAGTAGCCTCAAAATTCTAAGGGGAGCACATTAAAACTCCCAATGGGGTATAAAAAACAGAACCCAGCGCACATATATAAATGAGATATGTGATATACATAATGCACAACAAGGCAAGAGCTGCCATCACCACGTCTAGTAATAAGAAACTAGAACAGGTGGAGGCTGGGGGATGGTTAGGGGGGAATTCACCCGTGTAATATAGGTAGGAAAAAACAATATAACCAGTTGCAGCAAAGCCAGCACAAATAAAAAAAACGAGTCCAAGTTTGTCAGAAAGACTCCTTGTGGACTTGTTGACTAGCCTGGTGATTGTTGTTACTGTTTAGCTGATGACATGCACAATGTAAGAACTCTGTCTGAACCAGTTACTCCATTTGTGTTAAAGGGTAAGCTTTTGCACTTTTTTTCTTTCTTTTAAAAACACCATAAAATTCTGTCTTAGATATTTGTCGAAAAGGGTTCCTAATGCATGTGAACTGGGTTAGTTTGTTCTCAAAACAGTGTCTCTTTGGTATCAATCTTGCGTCTGTTTGACCCATTTCAATGACAAAATTCAATTTATTCTCTTTCAAAGACAATATCAAAACCTTGTTCAAGCCACCTATTCCAGAATTCAAGTGGACCGTCGGAAATGTCTTACCCTGTTTGTTTCTGACACCCACCGTCACTATTTCTGTGTTTAAAGCAGCAAAATAATTGTTTCTAAAATCTGATTTAAAAAAAAAAAAAACGTTTTGAAAAACAGTAGTAGGTGCAAAAATTCTGGGTTTAACATAAATGTGTTGATGGGAAATGGCAGGTGCAATAAGATGAAGGGGACACAGCCAGAATAACAGAATTAATTCACAGAGGGTTTTGGATGAGAAGAATCCAGTGTTGCTTTATTTCTTTTCACTAGATGGCCTCTACAAGACCAGTTTTATTTAAGAAATGCAAATGCGACATCACACCAAGAAAAACAATGTCACATTCTCATAAAGCGCTCTTGGCATGAACAAACAGCAACAATGACAATAAATAAAATGTTGGCGAACAAAATAAAACTTTGTGAACAAAGAATACTCAGGATTGCATATCAAACAAGACAAAAAATAGACAAAAAGTACTTGGCACAAATTAAATAAACTTAATTAATTTTCAGATTGAGTGAACCTACTCTATGTCCATTGCTTTGTGAATCTGATTGTCCTTCACAGTTAGCATTGAGTATGTGCGTGTACTGTACAAAATAGACACAGATGGCTGATGAAACTGAAATAGATTAATTCCAACAAATTGTCAGTACTCAACATCTTACTTTGTCAGTACCTTGACCTTCATAGTCACACTCCCAGGTGGCCTTTTGCTGCATATGTTTGCACTAAACAAAACTGCAGGTAAATGTGCAAGAAACCATTGTCACAATGCAAAGCCAATATATATGCACATAGTGGAGGACAAGTATTCTATAAGTTACCAGTGATTTCTGATTTGAGTTGAGTACAGGTGCATGACATAATGTTAAATTTAAATAAAGGAAAATAAAGATATTAAAGACACTTTGGTATTTTGTAGGTCATAATGTGCTAAAGTATGCAGTCATGAGTACAATGCACATTTAACACATTTTCATTAAAAGACCCAGTCTTGTTCTAAATTGATTTGTGTGGACATGATTATAGTGATGCCAGGACACTCATCGCACACAAATATTGTGTCAAAATGGTATACTCATATCATTAATCTTAAATCATTTTTGACCCGTGATTGCAGTCCAGTGGGATCTGCCTTGTGATGATGACCAACTGAGAGGTACATAAATAAAAAGGTGTTTTTAAAATAGGATAACAAAAATGCGAAGTAACAGAACACTTTTACAAAAAGCCAGTTGACCTATTTTTTAAACAGGATGACCCCTATCTCTCAGAAAGTGAGTCTTGTCCTGTTATAGACTAAATCCTTCTGTCTTTGTGCTCTGTCTGTTTCTCTGTCTCAGCAGGGCATATGCAGTGCAACACTAACATCTCCAATCTTGACTTCCCAAAGCAAAAGAAAAACAACATAATGTTTTCTACACCCATATAAAAATAAATCAATCGCAAACATGGAAAGATACATCTCATATATACAATAAACTCCTATATAAAATAGCTTTTATGTACATATAGACAACAGACAACAATACAATAATTGAACTGTACAATGTACACCTGAACAGTTAAGACAGGCGAGAGGTACTGAAGTGTATGGCTTGATTGGGAAAAATTCTAAATATTTACAGACATCAACTTTACATCCTTTACATGTTTTTAACTTCCTTGGAATGAAGAAGTCTAGGGAGAGGCCCATGCCTCACTTTCGTTTCCATTCCCTTAGGTAAGGCTACCTTTTAAGAATTGGTCCGCAGAGACTTTTCAGCCTCATGGTACTTTGCACAGTCAAATGTACTCTCAGCTCTCTTTTGGTGACATATGATAGGAGCTGGAAACATGAGTCTTAAAACCATTTATGAAGCTGTCAATCACATGGATCCATTAAAAAGAGATTAGTTAGACGACTGAAACTCCACTTATTGAATTTGCCCAGGAAGACCCAGACTTACTACTATTCTTTTTGAAAGGATTAACCAGTTATCGACATCCCCTTCACTTCGAGGAAGGTTAGACGCCAGTAGACTCCAGTGTGTAACCTCAGACAGCCATGCTTTGGTGCTGACATTTAGTCCATGGGTCCTTGAGGCATACCCAAGGAACACTTGTTGTCTTCCAAGGCTGGAGGGTGTTGTAGGAAAAGTCATGGACTTCTATTCTTCCTCCAAAGGGGTCCTTCAGTAGTGTCCTCATGGAGGTTCAGCACAGGATGGAAACCCCATCAGCAGTGACCAACTGACCAGTGGTGGGGTCATACGTCCCAGCCAGGTAGTAGAGGTCTGGGGAGGTACTGTTCGGCTTCTGATTGCGAGTCAGACACTCATACTCCTCCCTGCTCACCACCTGGCACTTATGAGAGATTGTCTGGACGTCATTCTCATCCTCATGACATGACTGGTACAGGGCATGCTGGATAGGGAAAAGACAGGGTTAGTTGCATCATTATACTGTATGTAAAAAGCAAAGAAAGAATAATGTCATGTGAAAGTTTCATATGCTTTAAATGAATAAACTACATAAAATTGTAACATATATCATGACTCACCTTGCCATCTCTATGCCTCTTGCCAAGCTTGGTCTCTTCAGGGTGATAGAACCACTTTACTTTGACCACCATGCTGGAGGTCCAGGATTCCCAGAAGTTCTCAATTCGACCTACGTATGGTAGGTTAGGGCGTCCAGCTGAGAGGAACACAGCACAATCTCCCACTCTCACTGTGTCTCTGCCTCGCACAATGGCCTTATAGTAAAGCTTCCTGGCCTTGCCCTTTAGACCTCGCCGCTGTGGAAAACCAGACATTTGGATTAATCCTCTTTGATGATTATTATTATTATTATTACCTCTCCTGACCTCTAGTGATTTAGTATTCTAAGCTGAACTGATGCTATAAAAGAAGAGTACAAATCTTTGCTGCATTGATGGTATGCAGCAGAAACATTACTACTATTCTCACCTGCGTAGGGTTTCCTGACCACCTCCACATTTGTCGTCCTGAAAGGAATGCAGACATCTTGGGCCTTGGAATAAATGAGGTGTCATCTGGGAGCATCCTAGGTTTCTTCAAGAAATCCTTACATGGTTTAGAGGAGGAACTGCTGCATTCTTTCCTCTTCAGGGACTTGCTGTTGGAGACCTGGTCAGGGGGACCTCCTTTGGCATTGGAAACAGCCACAGCTTTGGCCACAAAGGAGTGCTGGTGCGGCCTTGAAGAAGTGGAGGGTTCAGAGGGTTGCAGGAGCCCCCGGTGGGAAGACATACAACTCTGAAGCATCAGTGTAGAACTGTCCTCATCCTCTGAGCTGTAGGAAGAATCATTGTCAGAGGAACACAGGCTGGAACTAGAGAGAGAGCCTGAAGAGGAGGAGCTTGAAGAACCAGAAGAGGAGGAGGAGACAGAAAGACGAGACAGGAAGCGGCCAGCCGTCCTTAGTCCTCCTGAGGCAGCAGCCAGTGCAGCTCTCCTCCTCTCTTCTTCTTCATCATCCAGATCAGAGTAGGAGCTGTGACACTCTCTGTGATAGCTGAAACCCAAGTCGCTATATTCACCGAGACGCATAGGAAGGGAGGGCTTTCTTTGAGGTGTGGTTCCTTTCACGAGAAGTTCTACCCTGGAGGCACCGCCCTTTTTGTTGTCTTTAACCAGAAGGACTGGGTGAGAGTAAGCCTCTGTTCTGGGCATACCACTGACACTGGAAGATCCACCTCGCAACAGCAGAGCCTTGCTGTTCTTTGTCTTGGGGGAGGTCACTCCTTCATGGTCTAACTTAACCAGGAACTCTTGTCCAGACTTCCTGCCCCTTGGCATAACAAGCTCATCTTGCCTGCGCCTCTGGCCATACAGCCCACTTCTGGGACCCATAGATAAACCTGGACTTGGCCCTGTAGACTGAGTACAGAAAGATGAGTAGCCATTTGCAATGCTGCTGAAGGAGTCCACCTCAAAGGAGCTGCTGCTGAAAAGGCCTTTGGCTGGGGTGGATGCCAATGGCTGGGTCTGAGGTAAGGGGAACAGGTCATCCTCTTTCCCTCTCATGGCCTTCCTGGGTGCCCCGTTCAGCTGAAATAAGTTGTCGGACATCCTCTTCCTGGTGTTGGCCAACAAAGGCCAACCCAGGAACGGTGAGGGATTTTTATTGGCATTCTCAGCTTGCTGCTGCTGCTTTTGTTTTTTCCCAGAACCCTTTGGTCTCCCTAGAATAAAGAAAAGTCATGCTTTAGTAATACAACGTGACTGAAATGTGACTGTGTCTCTTTTGCACATACTGTACACTGACCAGTTTATTAGGTACACTTGTCCAACACAATAGCCCCACAATAAGTCTTGCTTATTGAAAGATTCTGCTGCTCAACACCAACAATAAAGTGTGAAGTGTGAATAAAAACTAGAGTGTGAACAATAACATTGTAAACTTTACAAAGACAAGATCTTTTGCAAGGCTATTGTGTTGGTTTACATAGCTGAGCAGTGAACAAACCCACAGAAATGTGTTTTGAATTCTGTCAAGAATGCATGGTTTTCCAAGATTCATAAGGTTACATTTGTTTGTAATATAATATTATGCATACATAAAGATTGTAGGTATTCAAGGTAAAAATAAGAGTTTCTGAGGTTAATTCTTACCCGGTCTTCTTTTGTGAACAGTTAGAGTTTGGCTGTTTATTACACTGTTGATAGTGTTGAGTCTGTCAGATGGTCTGTCACTGATTGGGGCCTGCTCCAGACTAGAACTTCTCTTGGCTGTTGTCCCGCCGGGTACCAGCAGGGCAGGAGATGACTCCCCACCTAAAGGACAAGGAGTAGAAGATTATTAGCATTTACTTACAGGTAGATAATACACTGCAACACGAAAGGGAAAATTCCCAGTTACACAGAGAGGAGACACCCACAGTGAATCTGATATCCTGGAGGCAGGTGACGGATGTTTGGGAGAGAAATCTTCCCTCGGTCTCCATCATCAAACTCTACCATCACTCCTCCTTGCTTCCCTTCATCAGATGAACCAACTGCAAGAGACATAAATGTACTTCCTTAGGCGTGCAGGAAAATGGGCAAATGCAAATTAAGTGAATACATGTACATACAATCAAATAAATTGAAGATACAGTGGATACATAGGAAAACAGAGATAAAAAAAGCTAATGTCTCACCTCTGCGAACATAGCCTGGGTATAAGCAGCGTGAGCGTTCGCTCCAGTAAGCACACACCCTGGTTCCTTCCCTGAGCATAGTCTCTGACTCTGGACGTATATCCAGGACCTGTAGGCCAGACCAAAACATAATTAAGATTCATTACAGGCTGCACACACACACACACACACACACACAGACATATATGTATACACACTCACACACACACACATACAAACAGTGTGAGAGCCATGGAGCATTGTGCATGGGCAGCCACTGTGCCACGTTTCCAAGCGGCACTTATCTCATGCCAATGTGCCAGTCAGGGCTGAAAAGAACGGAAGCCATGATGCAGTAAATCCTGACTTGCTGAGTAATACTAAAGAGGGTCTGAATAGAGGGCTTGTGATTGCAGGTTGCCAGATCCTCCCTCCAACAATGCAGGCAGCCCCAGCATCCGCCACTCACTGGGGGCTCTTTCAGGTTGCTTTCATTTACTGTTGCCATGGCGAGGGACCCTTTGACTGATGAGGTGTGGATGTGTAGTGTGTGTGTGTGTGTGTGTGTGTGTGTGTGTGTGTGTGTGTGTGTATGTATGTATGGGGAAGGGAGAGGGAGCACGGTGAAAATTGTGGTATTGGTGTCAGAGTTAAATAAATGGCTTTTGGACTAATTTAAAGACAAGAAAGTGGAAGTATGGAATAATTAGAACCAGCTGCAATCCAATAAGTGTTTAGACAAGACTTAAGTTGCCAGAAGTGCTGCGTGTATAACTGCCAGGAGAACTAGAAAATGGCACTGTGAGAAGGCTTTGTGGGGAAACACTGATCAGTATGAGTGAGCTTACATGGATGATAGAGGGAGGAGACAATCACTCAGATATTAAATGGACTAATGTATGTGTGAGGGGAAAGATCTCACACTGCTGAACAACAGGCACGTGATGAGTGCTGATGTTATGGGGAGAATGCTACAGTAACCCATGGCCAGTAGGGAGGAATAAACAATAATAACACATGGGATCTCTTTAATGAATGATCTTGGACTTATACTTAAACAAACAAATACAATACCTAACACTGTACAAAAGAAGTTTTAAGAAATGTAACTGACACGTGCACCCGTGATTTATTCATCTCAGTTAACTTTAAACACGTTTCCCAACAGGTGAAAAAACATAAAATTTCCTCACAATATTTACTAAAAATTTGATCCTGCTTTAATTGAAACTATCACATATTAATGATTGATTATTAGAAATGGATAGTAATTCCTCATCATGACGTTAAAATGTATGCCAGCTTTGTTTTTCAAAACAAATCAGATGACTCACTTCCATACATGCAGTCTAGTCTAAAATTTGTGCGCATTTTTACACATCACTACTTAATCATTCTTAACATTGGATGAAATATGATCACAACACTATTTAAAATGAGGTCCTAGCACAGTTATCATGCCCTCTTGGCAGCTTCTCCTGTTTTCTCCCCGTTAGAATGACAAGAAAAGCCATCAATGCAAAGCACAATCATGCCAGTTAAACTCTGCTCTACTCTTCCAGGGTCATCATCTCTTGAGTTTCCATTGTGTGCAAACACAATGTCCTGTGCCCTGTTTGGCAGGAGTGAAGACTTATTTCCACAGTTGGAGAAGATGTGGGTTTGACGGCATTGCCTTAGGTGACCCAGCTGTTATTAGTTCACAGACCAACATCCTTTCGGTAATAATAAACAAAACAAAATGGGACGTAGGTCACCTGTTGCAGTTAACACTAAAACTACATTCTGGATGCAGAACACACCAGGAAGCACATGTTACCTAAATACAAATGAATACCAGCCAAGAATGTGCTGCGGTTTCTACAATGTGTAATTGTGTCTCATTACATGGATGACTTAGGAACTGTAATTATATCTTAACATGAAACTGAGTGAGAATTACAAATCTTGTGGTGTAGGTAAGAAAAAAAAAAAAACCCGGTGCAACCGGAAAAAGCAATGAGGTGAGCAATTTTATTATGAAATTGATATATGTCTTATAATAGCTGGATAGCCCTGAACTTTTGGATGCCTCCAGGTGAACTTCTGCTAGTTTCTCTTCATACACTGTTGTGGCTGAGCCTTTAAACAACTTTGGCAGCAGTAGGGATGTTAAGTCCACATCATATCCCATTTAAACTCCAAAATGTGAATGTATCCAGGTGTTTGTGGGATTATCCCACCCACACACAGATCTGGGTCTAACAGACTTTTACAGACAGTCACACACAAACCCAAAGATCCTGCCCTCCCATATGTTCATATTCATTTAAGAGGTTTAGATGGCTCTCAGTGACCCTGAGACACAGTCAAGGGAGGTCAAAAGAGAGAGAGCGAAGGGACTGGCAGAGCTACTGACAGGCTGGACGGCTATTGGGAAGTGCAAAGCCGGTGAGATGGATGTGAAAGAGAAATAGAAGTGTTGAGAGACCCAGAAGACCAAACAAATTATGTTTTTTCTCGTAACAAGGAATGTTTTAGTGCAGCGGGGTGAACTTACAGCTTCCTGTAGCAGTTGCTCCAATGAATAGATTCTTGGGCGGTTTCCTCTTTCACCATCAATAACAATGCTAAAGCTAGAGAAAAAAAGCACAGCAGAGAGAGAAAGATGAGGCTATTTTCAGATGCTTGTATTATGCTAGCCTGGCTCCCATGTCATGTGTTACTCCCACTCTGCTGTTGTTATAGCATCTTTTTGCTGCCTGAGCCAGAGGAGCCTTATCGATATTGAGCTAGCTATGGGGTGATGTGGGGATTGTAATGTAAGGAAAAAAGACATGAAGAGAGATAAAAAATTCCTTTTTTTGTGATTGTAAAGATGCCTACCCTGATAGATATTGTTTGCATGATTTCTTTTGTGATGAGTTGATGTCTGGAAGGATGTGCTAGCCTCTAGGATAATTCATTGATTTATTTCCGTGTCTCTACATAGAAATGGCACTCTGCCGAGTGAACACTGACAAAAAAGTGTACACATGACACTGTAATTTGAAGTACTGAAGTAATCTTTGTCTGTAAATTTTAGCGTTACTTGGATGTCAACCGTAATAACCTCCTTAATACATAAAATAATCTGATCTAGGTGACATTTTCAAAAATTTAGTATTGCCTTAACCACTGTATGAGTGTATTGAAAAACTCATTGACTAAACACTTGAACCACTTAGCATGTGCGCTTACATGTCGGGGATCTCCAGAGTGTGGACCCTGGCAGCGTATAGGAGCTCATCCTCCTTGGAGATCAGCACCTTCAGTCCATCAGTCAAGAGCTCTTTGGTCAGGACACAATTAGGAACTGCAAAAGCAAACATCATAATTATTATTTTACCATCATTGAAACAATCTGCTGCTTGAAACACATTTGCAAGATACCTAGTGTTATCTGTTACCTTCGGGGCTTTTGTTGTTGTATGAATGGCGGCTGTCTTCCTCTTCTTCTGAGAAGCTGCTGCCATCCATCTGAAAGCCCTCATCAGCTGCAAAGCTCTCCAGCAGCCGACTCACCGCTCGTCCCTTTGGCTGTAGAATATAACAGAAGGGACGGCCAGAAGAATAAATGGATGCAGGAATGGATAAAAAAATAAACTTGGAGATAAAAAAGTGTGATAGAAGAAAGAAGAAATTGTTTAGCATGCTACTCAAAGTAGCAATTAACCGCAGGGGACTTCACAGTGCCTGTACCGTCTCCTATCAGTAGCTATTTTACTCCAACATTTTTTCACTCTGTCACAGCAGAAGGTGTGAGCCACCCCCCTTCCCACATCTCATCTCCCATCATCTCCTTCTCTAAGATTACTCAGCAGGAGGTTGGGCTATGTGCGATGTGCTAAGTACTTTTAATAGTCCTACAGTAACGGTCCTCAGGGTGAGAAATCTAGGACAGTAAGACATCACCACATTTGTTAAAGAATGTATGAAGTCTGGTATTTTTTGTAAGAATTGGATTCTGTTTGGTGTTTGCATGTGCCTTGTTTCCTGAGTTAGGTGCTTTTTGAGTTCTCTGTGACTGGTACCTGTTGGTCCTTGGTCCTTCGTCCCCTGCTAGCCTCCTCACTCTGCAAAGATGGTGCCCCAACTGACCAGCAATTTCTCCTCTGTTAAAATGACACAAGGATTGTTGAGATGAATTGTGAGATACATATCTCTGGTTATGGAGGGGGGGAAGCAGGAATTATGTGCACATAAATGATCAAAAATAATAGTTTATGTGGAAAATGATTTTAAGTCCTTTGAGGGTACAAATTATTAATTTGAGGGAACATATTTCTAATTTGTGAGCATTATTAATTCAAGTTTTCAATTCACATGCACTAATTAAACCAAGGGTATTAATTAAAATTTGGGTGTACAAATTAGCAGAATCTATCCCTGATACCTGCCAGGCTCTGCTACTGTAGAACTAAATACTCATTTCCATCAGCTAATACTTCTATATCACCCATCTTTTCTCTACCATGTGTATTTCTGTGATGACAGATTGATTAGCATACCTAACTGTGTATTATGGAGTGCCTATTATGTGCAGCTCCATTTAAGCTTGGCGAGGAAAAATTCATTTTGAAATGTACAAGCATTTTGTCAAAAATTCTATAGAAATATTTTCTACTAACCTTATTGATTGCTCCTCTCAACATGGTGCTCTTGCGGGTCGCCCTCTTTAGCCTCTCACTGGTGGTCGGGAAGGTGGCCAGTCCCATGCTTCTCCGGTAGCGGTTGCCTCTGGTCCCAAGGTTGCCCCACCGAGGCTCTTTAGACCTCGATACACATGGCCTTCTAACTCCTTCAGGCCGGTGATCTTCATGGTGGTTTTTGACTGCAGTGGCCAGGCCCAGCCTACAGGGGGTCTTCTTTCTTACTTTGACCTCCCCTTCTGCTCCAGACAGACTCTGGGAGCCTGTGCGGTTCAATTAGAGAAACAGATTTAGACCAAGCTAACAAGCCAGGAGGAGAAACACAAAACAGATGCTTCCCGTGAAGATGTGGGGCAGCTTTGTTGACTTATGAATGCATTTCAAAGGACAGTCTTACCATAAAGCTCCTGTCTCTGTTTTTTGTTCCTGGCTTTCTGATTGGCCTCCAGTTTTACAACAGATGAGGGACTCGGACCTGTCACAGAGGAGCTAGAAGTGATGTCTCTGGGGGGCTGTGCTCTGTAGTCTTGACCTTCGTCAGTATCATAACTGCCTTCTTCTTCTTCATCTTCTAATAGAGATAGCAAACAAAACAGCATGGATATGCTACTGTTAGGTAGGTTTTATGAACTTAATGTGGCTTATCAAATCCATCTTTTAAAGTCATTATCCACCAAGTTATTTAACTTACTCTCCATCGTTTCAGAAGCACTTCATTAGCATTTAAGTAAATAGTTTAACTGATCATAGAAATTATGTATGAAGTGCTTTGCCTCAGTGGTATTTCCTGGTGTGAACCCACATGCTACAGAGCTAGTGTGCAAGGGAGTGTAGGAGTGAGTGTGTGTGTGTGTGTGTGTGTGTGTGTGTGTGTGTGTGTGTGTTTGTCACTGCACTTTCTCAAGCAGCTCTTTGACCCAGTCTGCTAGTTTCCAGGGCTGTCAAAGCCTCTCACAGGCAAGTGTCCACAGCTGTGGCTGCACATCCAGCCCAGACCAGCCAACAAGGCTGATCACTGAGGTGTCAAGTGTCCAAGCACACCCCTGTCTGTTACAAGACATTCATCAACACGTTTTTGCTCACCTCTGATTACTTTTAAAGTGATTTACAAATTAACAAAATGCACACTGGACACTGGAAGTGGCAAAGCATGTCTGGTCAGACATAAATATGTCTGGAGGTTGTTTCTTTTTCTTTTTTTTTTACTCAAAAACAGGTCCAATGTGCTTTATGCACTGCAGCCTTTACACTTTATCTCTGTGTACATGTGTAGTTATTCATAGTGATCAACCAAAAACACCCTTGCACATGGCTGTCATCATACAGATAACATTTTAATAGCTAGCCAATTAAAAATCCCCAGTTCACCCACAAGTCTACAGAGTAAACACAGGAACACATGCAAACTTCATACAGACAGGTACTAGGAATCACACCCAGGTCTTTCTGAGCCATATTGGGTTGCTGTGGTCATTCATTACCTATCACTCATAGCCAGCCATCAGTATTAACTGCCTCACCTTGATCAGAGTAGTCACTCTCTGCAGGGGAGCTATCTCCCTCCTCCATTGCTTCCTGCCTGTGGCCACGGAGAACCCTGGCTCTGGGCTGGTTCAGATGGGAAGAACCCTGCTTAAGGGTGGTGGATCCCTTTTTACGTCCATGGCGCACCAGTCCAGTCCAGCTCTCCTGGGGGCCACTGTCGACACTGGCTGCTGAGAAAGTTTGCGAAACCGATCACAGTTCAAATGTAGGTTAAGAATTGTTGTGGAACATTAAGGAACAGTGTGAATTTGAAAACAAAGCACTGTGCTTTTTACAACAAAACAGCATGAAGCACAATCAATACTGTGATTGCCGGTATATACCTGTGTCACTTTGTCCCCCAGACTCTCGCCTGGATTCAGCTTTGCTTATGCCCTGGCTTCTGTGTCTATGCTTGGGGTTGGAGTTGCAGGGTGAAACCTCCTTGTCCCTGGAGCCTGTCCCTGAGAGATTCTTTTTACCCTGGGCTTTTTGTTTGAGCTGAGTCACATCACCGGCCAGCTTGGAGCTGAGCATGCTGTGAAGACTGCTTTTTTTGCAGCCCTGTGCTTTTATCTGCTGCAACAGAGAGAGATGAGAGAGCCAGAGAGAGCCAGTTACACTCCCGGTCACAGCAGCCGCAAAAGCATCAGAACGTCAGAGGAAGGGGGCTCTCGTTTGCTCACACACAGAGAAGAAAAAGGGAGAGTAGAAGCCCCAATGAAAAGGATATTAATATGGAGAGCAGAGGATTTGACTCCTGAGCGTAACACCTAATTAGAAATAGTGTGCAACAAAGGAATATATCAAACGCAAAGAAACAAAGAGTGGCCTCTTTCATTTCTAGTTGCATAGAGGACAAAAGGGAGGAGGAAAAGGGGACCCTGACCTGTGTGCTGCTGAGTCGCTCAATGCCTCGACTGGACAGCCTCTTCTTCCTTCTCTGGCTGTCTCCGCCCCCTCCTAGATCCTCAGGCAACAGGGCAAGCCCCGCCCCCATCGACCTGCCAGTCAAAACAAGGGAGAGGCATTCATTAGAGGAGAATGGCGGTGGTTTGAAAGAAAAAGAGGGGGTAGGACATCACAGGGGAAAACAGAGTTGAGTCACCTCTCAGTGGGATCTAATAACTCGGTTCTCTGTCTAAAGAACAGAATGACAAAAAAGGACACGGAGAGACCAATGTCTCAACCACACACTTGAAAAATTGGGATCTAACAAGGAACCTGGGATTGTTTGAGGGCAGTGTGGCATAAGAAGCCTTAACGTTTTATCTAGGGAGTGTCTTTGCAGCCTGTGAAGCACTGCATAGCTTTGAAAAATACAGTAAATGGTTGGAAGGCATTGAATTTGTATGCAGCTCTATTGTTCTCAGTGAATATTGTAGCGCTCCAGTTGCATTTTCATATCACTGTGGCACACTATTTCCCCTACACTGAGCAGAATCACAGGCCAACCACTCCAAATGCCCTTGAATTTCCCTCTGGAAGCCTGCCCATAGACCACACCAACGTGAGCCAGGCCATGCTCAAACAAAAGATTAACTTCCCCTCTCCTAGTGTGCATACAGCCTAGAAAATCAGTCACATTTACAGAGTAAGCAGGATTTAAATGTGAAGTAGATAAATAAGCACATTCAACATTTCATGTTAGTTCTTTGTTTGCATATTGTACCACATACAATTCTGTAACTACACATAGTTTGAAATGAAATGTGTGTGTGTGCTTCTTTGTACACAGGGTTTGACTGTAGGCTTTGATTGTGTGTAAATCTCATAATCAGAGCGTGTTAGTGTGCATCAATAACGTAACGTGAAAAGAATGAAGGCGATTGTCGGGCAGCGGGACTGTCTGCCCATTGACTGACAGGAGAGTGACAGAGGTGGCAGTGAAGTGTGATTTGTCCCTGCGAGGGACATCCCGCCACTGCTTGCCTTCCGCTGCTGACAAACACAATATGACAAGAGTCCCTCCCCTCTGTGGGGGGCTGGTGGGGCTGAGCGTACAGTGACTAATTAAACAGAATTGATTAGCAGGGTTTGCTGGCAAGCAGTAAGTTCTCTCCAGTCTTCCCCCCAATCAAAGCAGCACCACAAAGGACCGCAGTGCTCTACCCACAGGAATAACAGAGGCACGCACAAAAACAAACAATGCCTGCCTAAATGCTCATAAGCACACAGCTACATCCATACCTAATTGCGCATATGCATAGAATACACAGGCAGGGAGGCTTGAATTTATCACTCACTCAACCACTGCCACACACATTATTTTGCTCGAACCACAGGGAGTTCAAGCAAAATAAGGTTATGAAGGAGATACAAAAAGACTGGGCTGTTACCCACTGACCCACTGCCCTCCATCATAGCACCCAAGTGTCAGCCTCTTGTAGTGGCATGAGTGGCAGGTGCAGTACATACTTTTACATAACCCTGCCATGTAGCGCAATATGGGGCTAATCAGTCCCCAGTCTGCCTGTTACTTGTTCAGAAGCGTCATGTCATTCTCTGCTGCACACACACATCTGCAGAAACAAAAGGGTGTGCACCCTAGCTGTCTTGAATAAAAGTACCAGAGCTGTAGCTCAGATTATAAACACAATAGAAACGCAGACTGCACCCTACCACCCCCATGTCGGCCTCCACCCTTCCTCCACCTCGCTGCAGGGTCCTGGCCCCTTACCCTTTCATTTGGGTGTCATTGTCAACCAGCATCAGCGTCCCCACTCCGATCAGTGCTGGCCTGGCAAGGGGGCAGGGGTACATGGGTGGAAGCAGAGTGGAGGTGACATCGCAGAGGGGCAGCTGGGAACACTGTGGACCACTGCCCAGAAACCACAGTGAGAAAAGGAGGGAGAAGAGGAGAGGGAGACAGAGAGAGTGAGTGAGAGAGAGACAGAGAGAGACAGAGAGAGAGAGAGAGACAGAGAAAGAGAGAGAGCGATGCGAGGTGACATTAAGTGCTCTATGCCTTTCCAAACCCTGATGACAAGGCTAATTGAAGCCTGACAGCAAACCTTTATCCCCTAGACCCTTTTGGTTCATCAGTTCCTCCACCAAGACCAAACAGCAATGGCACCCCTGTTTTGACAAAAGCTGACGCTTGCACTTTTTAAAATGTCATCAACATTTTGAGATAGCGTAGCGTCCTTGTTTCTTGAATATCCTCCAATCTCTCCATCTCTGTCTCCCACTTTATATTTTTTTCGCTGTTCGGCTCACTGTATTCGTCTAATTGTTTTTTTTCCTCTCATACACACATGGACATTGTATGAGAGCTCTAAATGTCAGCTTATCTCTAAGTGCCTGGACTGTCTGACCATCATGTTATCCTTTAGACCCCTGGTGACCCTGTTGGGCTGTGGTGTGTCACATTCCTGCTGCTGGGACAGATTACAGGAGAATTCACAGTACTCTAATTACATCCTCTGCCTGTCATCCCCCCAGCCAGCAGCCAGCTCCCCCCCTAACCCATCGCAGCTAAGCTCTACATGCACTACAGTAATGCCACGGAGGTTTAAGACTAGCCAGGTTGAAGCCTAATGAGGCCAATGATCAGTTTTCTAGGTATGTGTAATCCATATATTAAGCATACATAAATATTCTGTACTAGCAGACATACACTCAGCTGACACTGATTATGCTGTTATACAATTAACGCCAGTGTTGATTAGAAAGGACTTAAGTGGACTTCCTTGAATGGTTCAGCTGTGTTCTCCCATTTCCTGTTTATGCCAATGAGAGGCAGTCCCTGTACGCCAGTGATATGGAGGGATTTATCAGACAAGATTGGACTATAGCCAGCCAGCCTATGGGCTGAGTGATACTCACTTGACTTTTCTTTGGCCCTCAGATGAGGACACTGGACCTGTGGTGAGGGTGGGTTTCCGCTTCCTTGGCCGCCCGGGTCCTCGTCGCGCTGGGCTGCGAGGTGTTTCCTCCTTCCTGCTTGCACACGCAGATGTAAACACACAAGCAGACAGAGAGGAACTCTTGAGATACCATCTAAACTGAAAAGGTTGTAGTAGCAAATAATACAGAAAAGAAATCTCTGAAAACTAGAAGCAAATGTGTTAAAGGTTTTATTACTTTTGAAATAGCTCAATGCAAAAGGTGGAGATGAGCTTAAGGGAAAGGTGGAAAAGGTCGCACTCACTGATGATCGTGCTTCCTCTGAAGTTTGGCTAGCTCCTTTTGCTTCTCTTTGTAGCGACGCTGTAGCTCAGCCAACTTCATACGCATGGCGAGCTCAGGACCATCCATTGTTTCCATGGTACCTTTGGCCGGGCACACCTGAGATACACATCATTGATGGTTGTTTTTAACATTAAACACAACCTTAAAAAAAATCACGTAAAACACATTCTTCACTTGGTAGTCTGTTTAATTTATTTAAATGAAAGACATTAAAACCATATAGGATCTTTGTGTTTTGGAGGCACCACAGTTGCAGTCTTACTGGTTCATTGCGAGGTGTCCAGCTGCATTTCCTGCGTAAATTGAGGATCCTGCGGGCTGGGAAGTGTCGCCCTGAACCTGTGCTGCTGCCCTCCTGGGAGCCCATCTCCAGTGCACGGGCTGTGGCCAGGGTGGCAAGGCTCTGGAGGTCAAACATCAGCAACTCCTCTTCTGTTATGGAACAAAAGAAAAAAAACAATGATTTAGTTCACATTGTGTCCATGACACAATCGTGTGAGATAGTGAATAAATAATGAGGAGGAAAGACATTGAAGGAAATCGGGTATATTTATCCAGTATGAGGAAGCAGCAGCATCTCATTTCAGAGGTCATATCAATGTGGACTCACCAGATGCTGCTATGTCTGTGGCCATCTGGGCCAAGCTCTTCCTATATAGCCCCTGCTACCTGCCTATGGCACTGACTGGACTATCTGCCATCAATGGACTGAGCTAAAGGTTGAATATCAGGCGTTGCAGCAGTCTCAGAGTTGGAAAAACACAACATTTTGTTTACAAAGTAACACTGCCTTACGCCTTTACATATATAAATAAAAAATACTTATGCTTCTCACTTGTTTTAGTACTTGTTTTGGTAAAGACTATTGTTGTGACTCGACATGTGCCACTTCCTTGAGCTGTCAACAGTATCGCATCACAAAGACAACATCACTGACTCTAGAATCAGTTGATGATACCCTTTTTATAGAACCCTCTTTTGGGAGCAGTTAAATGCATTAGGATGCTGTGGTAAACACAAAACATCCTTTTGCATGAATAAAAAAAACACATGGCACTTTGAAAAACAAGGAAGCTTTTAAAGGCACTTTAAAACAATGGGGTCTAATTAGCCAGGCAATGCTCCAGGGTGCTGAAAACATCGACTGCTTTTGTGATTACACACTAACTTTCAGTAACGTGTTGTGTGTGGGAGAGAGGGATACCAATTGGTGTCTCTTTTTTCATTTTTGTTAAAGTGTGTGTATTTGCAATTGCATGTGTGTTTTCATGTGTGCTTGGGTGTGTGTGCATTTCTGCACACGTGTGGATCAAACAGCGGCAGGATGGAGAGACAGAGAGACAGAGAGACAGCTCCCTAAGGAAAGCTGGAAGGGAAAGAGAGGGAGTGTACACCCCTCACTAGTAGTTCAGCCCTGTCCTCCTGCTTCTTCTCCCTCTCCTGAGGCCTCTGCATCGTTAGAACAGCCTTTTAGAAAATAAAAGTGCCTTTAACACACCAAAGAAGAGGAACGGCAAGCAAGCATGCAGACAGCTTCTCTGGGGACATGTTAGAATCCACCAGAGGCTCTTGAGACCAGCAGGAAGAGAGGAGTATCTGGGAGGGAACACAGAGTGACACAGGCTAGGCCTGAGGGGGAAGTGGGAGTTTGTCTCGGTGGACACAGAGGAAAAGGAGGGTAAACTACGAGAGAGAAGTGCATTCTGCTGATAGGAGTGTGTTTCTGTGTGCATGTTAATGTGTGTGACTAATGGAAGACGCACAGTCCCTCACCCTGACTTTTCCCACAGGTGCGCTTTTGCTGTTGCAGCTCCAGATCTGCCAGCTCACTCAGAAGCTCCATACCCTGGTGGGGGTTGGGCTGTGATGGGGCAACCGATGGGGTGCTAAGAGGGAACAAGGGAAATGGAGGTACGTCTGTGCAGAAGGCAGCAGCAATCAGCAGCTCCAGACTCCAGTAGCAGGGCACAAGAGGTTTGTGGGGCACAGCAACAGTTGCCTGGCTCGGGCTACAGGCGGAAGCTGAGGCAGGGGAAAGACAGACAAAATCCACTGAGGCATCATCATGGGTCATCTCGTTCTTGTGCTGCTGCTTGCTGTCCTTTGCTCCCTCAAGGGCTGGGGACTGCGACTCAGTGGCTGCAGGGGAAACGGGGTCAAGCTCGATGATGGTGGGTAGCTCTGGATCCTGATCTCCAGGCATGTTGACCTTTTGAGCATGCTCCACCTGGCTCTCCTCACCCACCGCCTCATCATCCTCTTCCTCTTCCAAGGTGATGACAGCCCCTGGCCTTTCAGGCTCCTCTGTTGAAAGGGGGACTGGACAGGAAGCAGCCTCGCACACTGGGCTCTCAGCAGGGGGGCAAACCAGGACCTCTTCCTCAGCGGGCCCCTGCTCCTCCACCTCCGTCTCTCCAGGCACATATTTGGCTGCTGTCACATCCACCTCCTCCCTTTGCTCCAGAACTCTCTCAACAACTCTTTCCTCCTCTTCTTGTTCCACTTCCTTAGGTGGGAGGGGCTCTGGGAGTGGCCTGACCACCGCTTGGCAGTCCAACCCCTCCCCCAGAGTGGAGAGGGACTGGGGAGCATGCTCAGCAGGCTCAACTTGGACTGCTTCCAGGTCGGCTGGCTCAGCCAGTCGAACATCCTGGGGGGAGGGCCCGCTCCTGTAGCCAATGGCAATAGCAGGGTAGGTGTATCCAGGAGGCAAGTCTATAGAGAGAAATAAATAAGAAATAGAAAATAGAATCAACAATTGTCAATATTGGCTAAATGATTCTGATGAAAAACCTCCCACAAAAATATCTCATAATGCCATTATTTTGTAAATTATATTTAAGTTGAAATACAACAAAATAGATTTTCTTTCCCCAAGACAGCCTTACATTTAGAGGTGCTTTGCAAATCTAAAATCCTTACACATCAGGCCCACTTTAAACTTAACTCCCTTGCTACCTACGAGGTCACAAGGGGTGAAAACCAGGAAAAGGAAAAGCACACTGCCTTGATCTCCCAGCAGTAGGAGGGGTAGAGGACCACATGCAACCTTGTGTGAGTGTGTTATTTGAAGTAGGCCAGGCCTTTGGTTTTTATCAGAGCACCTGACACAATTCTTCTGGCGTGTGGTGCCCGTTAGCCAGACATTAATGATGATGAAGAGAGTGCGGGGCCTGTGGGGGTGGAGGAGAGGTGAGGGCTGCTATTGAGGTGTTTCTCAGTCATTACAAAGGTAACAGTACTGGGAAGCCCCAGCTCAGCCGGCAGCCATTTTCTGCAGCTTTGAGCTGTTCAGTCAATCAGGGGCTTGCCAACAGAGCCACCCACACATTTTACCACAACACCAGCAGAAAGCATCATTAACAACAGTGGCTATTCCAATTACAGTTGTGTGTAATGTAGTAGGTGCTGCTATTCACTGTCATCTTGCTGTTGCTGTGTGAGTTATTTGGCATAACATTTGTCACTAGAAGCATCTTAAACGGATTGCCTGTTCTCTGAAAGGCTTTTATCTGATGTTATCAATATAGCTCATACTTAAGCCATTGCACACAGTGCATCAAAGGCAGCAGGAAAACATTTCTGTTTGCATTGCATATATACACCATTTTGCTCATGCTTACCAGGCTCCAGAGACTCTGGGTAATCCTGTGGGGGCTGTCCCTCTCCTCTCTTGTCCTGGGATTCGGCCCCCTTGGGCATCTGTGGTGGGGCAGGGCTGATGGCAGGTGAGTGAGGGGCTACAGCAGCAGGGCTGGGAGCAGGGCAGGGTGTTGAGGGAGTGCTTTTGGGATGTGGTCGTAGTGAGGGGGACTGGCAACAAGGGGACAGGTGAGCAGCGCAGGACCCAGCGGGAGAGGTGTTCCTCTGAGGTGGGTTATAAGAGTAGGGCTTGGCCGGTTTAGACGTTCTGGGTTCCGAAATGAGTTCCTCTAGTTCAACCGAGGTCTCATCGGGCCTCTTCTGCATCTGTGGCATTAAAATACAGTTATTTTCATTTAATTTCGCAAGAAAGTGAATGAGCAAATGTAATAACCAAATCCATGCAATCTAATCATTGACAGAAAAAGCTACTTGCTCCACAGCCTATATTCAGTGATTCGCTCCATCCCTGTGAGAAAATCAGCATATCCCAGAAAAATATTAGGGGAGTTAAAAATAGACTAAATCATGTGAGAATTTAAGCTGACTCATGACTCACTTACTCTGCTTGACTCTTATTCTATTTAGATAGATAGATAGATAGATAGATAGATAGATAGATAGATAGATAGATAGATAGATAGATAGATAGATAGATAGATAGATAGATAGATAGATAGATAGATAGATAGATAGATAGATAGATCAATCTTGCGTAGTTTGACTTTATAATCACCTGTGAATTGTGACTGGCATGATGTTGCATGTCCATGCCATGCGCAGCTCTGTGCTGCTGCTGCTGCTGCTGCTGGGCTTGAGACTGTGGTTGTGCTTGCTGTGACTGGTGGCTCTGGTGCTGATGTTGATGCTGATGCTGATGCTGGAGCTGTTGGTGCTGCTGGAGAGCATACAGCTCCTGTTGCCGTAGAAACTGGGATCGCGAGTACACAGCAGGATGCTGCATGTGGGAGGGTGGGCCCCGGGCGCCATACACAGGGGGCCACAGCCCTGGCTGCTCCATCACATCTAATGAGAAAAGGGAGGAGGAATGTGACAAAGGGACTACCTTAGAACAAAAATGCACATACACACTTTAGAAACAGTTTCCTTTGGATTCATACACATCAACACTAAAAACACACTAGAATGCAACATTGTGTTACCGTATCTCTCATTATCTGCCTCCCACACACCCATTACAAAACAGTGAAACCATTATGGATCATTTAAAAATCATTGTATTCACATTTTATAGCAACGACATAGACAAATCTCTTCACAAAAAAAAGATTTCTGACTTCACAGAACAACATCTCCCCAGGCAGTAGCAATCCCACACTCTCCCCCGCTCTGAACTGAAAGCTGTCTCTTAAGAAGTGCCTTGAGAATTTTCTGGAATGCTGGAAAAATATCATGACAATGATGAAATGTGAACAGATGATGATGGTTGCAGGTTGATTAGAGGTCAAAACACTGGGCTGGAAGTGCATGTTTGTCTCGCCGGAGCATTCAGCGAGGACTTTCCACCGAAAAGTCCCACCTGCCCAGCCAAACCACAGAAAAGGGTCTGCAATAGGGCCCAGCAGGAATTTTAGTTCCCATGTCTGTGGATAACCTTTCTCATGTGGCTTTAAGAAGCAGTACAACCTCCCACGGTGGAAGTAGTGGGCCTACACTGTAAAAACCTTAAAACTGGTATTTTTCTGTTCTCTCGCCCTTTGACCTTGACTCTCCCTTCCACCTTTTTCCTTGACACAACAAAATCCTTGTTCAGAGACATAAACATAGATACGCAAATGTTTCCTCTGGGAAAGCTTTTGTGGATGCACTTCCTCTCTTGGCTGAAACTCCTGTGGAGCACAGAAGGAAACGAACCCTCGAAAATTGTGAGCTAATTAAATGTCACAGCCTGTTCACTGAATATGTGTCTACAATGAGTTTTGAGAAGTGATCGTTCCCTCACTCTCACGCTTCCTCTTCCTCTGGTGTGCCTCGCAGTGTGTGCATGTGTATGTGTGTCTGAATGTTGTGGGGGGGAGGTGGGGAGTACCGTGACCCATTGAGAGCCCAATTCCTGCTGGGCCAAGCAGGTGGTGTGCAGGAAATGTTTGAATTGTGGTGAGTGTGTGTGTGTGTGTGTGTGTGTGTGTGTGTGTGTGTGTGTGTGTGTGTGTGTGTGTGTGTGTATGTGTGTGTGTCAGTGAATGAGCCCATTAAAAGGAAGTTCATCAGCAGTCTTCACAGGATCACTATGATTACCAACAGTTCTTTTAATGTTTTCCCTGGATTATATGGACACTGAAATAACATTGTGTTAATGACTATTCAGTGGGAGGTGAAGCTGTGGAATATAGGCTACATTTAGTGAAATTCTAATTTATCGGGATTTACGTTTCTACAAGGGCAAATACATAATGTGTATGTGTGAGGTTGTACATGCATAGTTTGTGTGTAGCAGACTCATTTGTTCAGAGTGCTTTATAAATACAATTGGCTTTACAGAGGAGAAAGCAAGGTTATGGCATACCCAGGTGATGAGTGGCAGGATGGGCGGGAGGCTCTGTGGGCAGGACCACCAGCTGGGCAGAGGGGTCCTGAGGCAGAGGCAGGACTGGCTGCAGGGAGCCTGGCATGGCTGCAGAGAAGCCTGGGGGCAGATTCTGGTGCAGGGCTGTATGACCTATACCTGCTTTATAGAAAGGATTTCAGTTAAGATTTAGCTTTCCATCACATGTAAAAAAGGGTTATAAATATACTACGACTACAAATCATGATCACTACATCATGAAATCAATTCTAAACTTGACTGGGAACAAATGACGATGCAAATGTTGAAATGGTGTGTTCTCTTCAGCATAACGTAAAATCTTGGCTGCTGAATTCTGCACAAATATGAGATGATACAGAGTTCTGTAGGCATGAAAGAAAACTCAATATTTACTGCTGGGCAAGATCATATAAAAGCGTAAATGATCTGCTGGTCGGCAGACAAACACACGTATGTTTTTGACCTTTTAACAAGGAGGACTTTACTACCTTCTTTACATGATCTGTAAAAAATACTGAAAATGACTGAAATCAATAAAGTCGCACAGTTTGAAGGTGTAAAATTTTAGTATCTTAATTTCCAAATCTGTTAACATACTGTTACCATAAGAGTGTCCTGTCATCCAGAGGGACGGGCTTCCAGTTCTTGGCATCCAATGATGGTGAGCAGAATGTGCAGCAGGATCTCCTAACTGGCCAGACTGGAGGGAAGTCCCGCCTGGGACCATGAGATGAGAGGTGAGGTCTCCGTGACAGCTGTTGGAGGGATGGATTCTTGCAAACTCCACCCTTTCCTTATTATCCCTGGCATCAGGATGAAATAAAGATAAGGAAAAACAAATAAAGACCAGTGTACTGAAGGTTTCTAGAAGTAACTGATTTTAATTGGGCTTTACAGTTGCTTACCTGATATATGCATCTCTCTCTCTGTCCAGGCAAGTCAGACCTATTTGTTCACCACTCATCCTCTTCCTCTCCTCTTCAGCTGTAAGATCTGAGGGATACATGGAGCGGGGCGGTCCTGTGAGACAAACATTAGCTTTACCAATAGCTTTCATCATTATGTCTCCCGGTAAGGACATATTCCCAAGTCTCTCACTATTTCTTAAAACACCATGACTCACAAGGGACTGACCGTACATATTAGTTTGGCTCATTATACAGATTTTGTATCATACTTTTTAACATCATTTTAAGCATTCTTATATATTTTACTGTTTTCTGGCCTATTCCTTTCATCATACCTGCATTTGTCCCCCAAAATAAGATTTGTCTTTTGCTGACATGTTTGCTTGGACAAAGCATTATATTTCTGATATCATAAATAAGATATGGATTAACCTAGAGGTGAATCTCATCACTACTGGATTCTGTTTTCAAAATGACACCATGAATGGGTGGGCAGTGAGTACAGATCCAAATAAAGACATATGTGGTACTGACTGTGTACTGTGGCTATATTTAAAATAATGCTACAGAATTGATTTTGATATGCTGCTAAATTTAATTTTAAAAAACCAAGACTGTTTTGATGTGTTTTGTCAAAACCAGAATGGACAAACCAAACACTGGCTCTAGATAGGGCCTTTCACATTTGGCTACCATAGTTTCTCCTACTTAGGACAAGGGGGAAAAGCAAGTGGGTTGTAATCAAACTACACCACTGTATGCCACTGAATTTGACACACTTCCTTTAAGGGAAAGTTAAATAATATAGAACTAAGATAAAGTTAAATAGGTGTGGTTTGGGAACCTATGGGTAGTAAATTACATTCATTTAGCAAAAATTAAGGTTTAACTAATTACTGCAAAAAATGCTCAGTGCCACATTTTTCATTTTTTTTCTCTTTTCTTTTGTGTTGTTTTCACAGCTAGGTCATTAAAAGGTCACAGGTAAGAGAAAAAAAGGTTTCTGTTCTCTTCACCTCTATTAATGAGGCAGTGACCTAGACTGCTTACCTTTCACTGAGGGATGTACCCTGCCCTGTCGGCTGTTGGGATGACCGTCTGCTGAACGACAAGGTGGCTCCCTTTGTCTTGCCACAGCCACTGCAATTCCCACCGGCGGCTGCCGCACCTCACTTTCCCCGTGACCTGTTTCCCCCATTTCCCGACTCCGCCCACTGTAATCAGGGCGGTCGTTGTCATTGGTTGGGCCCTTTCTGGAAGGTAGAGTCTGTTTGTTGCCCTGCAGGGCACAGCTCCCCCCAGCAGGACCTGATTTGAGGCTACCCAGCCCCCCAAAGGGGCTCTTTTGGGAGAGGAGGAGTGGCTGTTGCTGGTTGCTGTACTTTAGTAAGCTTTTCATGGCACTGCTCTCCCCCTGAGTTGGGCCCTGGGCCTCGGGTTGCTGCTGTGACTGCTGCTGTTGCTGACTAAGGGAAGGTGCAGGAGGAGGCTGGGGAGGAGGCAGGCTCATTCCCGGCTGCTGTTGCTGCTGGGAGTGTTGCCCACCAGTGCTTCCTAACTCCATGTAGGACTTCCTCTGCTCGTCCTCAGGTTGTGACATGTGGTGGGGAGGCCTCATGGCCCAGGGTGGCACCGGGGGCTGCTGGTGGTGGTGCTGCCCACTGCTGTTGCTGTAACCATAAGGAGACATGTCCATCTTTCTTTTCAGCTCCTGACTAGTCGCTTGGTTCAACTCAGCAGGAGAAGGAGCATCTGGGCCAGGTCGGCCATGCTGCTGGTGGCGTATCCTGGCTACCTTTTGTCCATCTCTCTGTAAGGAGCAGCTACCTCCAGGACCAGGGCCATGGGTTGCTCCAGCTCCACTATGCTGACCCATGCTTTTACTTCCAAGTGGGGAGGAATTGGGTGGAGGTCCTGGATGGGAACAGTCTCTGTAAGGAGAAGTGTTGACAGAATGAGGGACAGGGTGTCCAGCTTTGGGCCCCTGGGGCAGTGAGGGTCTGAACACGTCCATGTCCACACCGCTGTTGATACACTCAGCACTGCGTGATCTTACAACCTGGTGCTGCTGTTGAGGATGTGGGGGCTGTTGTAGTTGGGGAGGTGGAGGAAGCTGTGAGGGCTGAAGGTGTTGGTGGTGTGACTGCATCCAATCTGGAGCCTTCTCTGTTTTTCTGTATGGGTGCTGCTGTTGCTGTTGTTGTTGTTGTTGTTGCTGCTGCTGCTGTTGCTGTTGTTGTTGTTGTTGTTGTTGCTGTTGCTGTTGCTGTTGCTGCTGTTGTTGTTGTTTTCTGTGCCAACTACCATGGTGCCCACCGCCTCCATTCTTTTCTATTACCTTATCCTTGGTATTGCCACCTCCCCCTCCACCACCAACACCCTGGCAGTCAGGGTTACCAAGCTGGAATGGTCCACTAGATTTGTCCCCCAGGTCTGCCACAGACGGCACAAATGTAGGCCCTGTGACTTTAGGTTCTCGCCCCACATTGGCTGGCCCCCTCTCATGTGAGGCAGGGTTAGCTAGAGGAGCAGGAGGGGGCGGGCAGAAAAAGTCTGGGTGGTGGTGTGTATGGTGGGAATGATGTGGGTGGTGTGGGTGACTAGGGTGGAGCTGAAGGCAGTGGAACCCCCCTGGGTGAGGATGTGTATGCGGGTGAGCATGAGGATGTGGATGGGGGTGTGCCCCTCCAGTAGCAGAACCCATGTGTAAGGGTGGGGGTACAGAGTAGGACAGAGAGTGGTGGAGTGGTGCCTGACCCCTTTCTAGACAGTCTGAAGGTTGTTCACTGATCCTCATCTCCCCACTTACCCCCTCTTTGGTGCAGCGACTAGTGCCACTGGACCCCATATGTCTGCCCTGGCTGCTCCCCCCACCCCCCATAGACCCAAGGGCTGTGCCCTCCCCCCCACAGCTGGACATGGAGGCCTTAGCCCCTGTTCCAGTTCCTGCATCTCCATTTTGCATCTTGCCATTGTGCAGGCAGGCACTGAGGGGCTTGCCCATACTCTGAGGGTGTTCCTTGCTGTACTCCATCGTGAGTGATGCCTTGTGTCTCTCCAGGGCCCGACTGTTGACCTCCTCCAAAGGTAGTGGGTGCTGTGGATAGTGTGGGTGCTGCTGATGGGGGTGGGAATGATGGTGGTGTGTGGGCTGGGGTGGCTGGTGGCTGTGGTGCTGTTGGTGCTGCTGCTGTCTCTCCTTTGCTTCCTGTTTGCTACTGGACCTCTCCTTGTCCTTGACAGATACCACTCCTCTCTCTACAGAACCCTCTTTAAGACCCTTATGTAGACCTGTCCCTACCCCCGGATCTCTGTCTCTGCTGCAGGACCCCTGAGAGTGTCCTGAACCTGCCCTGGACATTGGTGGCAGACTGTGATTGGCGGAGATGAGAGGTGGCTGGGACGGGAGACCTCGAAGATAGAAATTCTCTAACAGAGGAAGGGAGGCCAGTAAAGACAAATGCATTAGTCAAGAAAGGAAAAGGCAATGACAGAATTAGATTATTCAGCTCTCATGATAGTGTCCCTAGGCATCCTTATATCAATATCCCACATCAAATTACACCATACTATGTTGTATAAATTGGATTTAAATGTCTTATTTCTGTCTGATTAAATTTTAATCATCTCATGCCTCACCTTTTTGGGTGTCATAGAAACGGTGCTGCCCGTAGAGAACTCCACTGTTGGCATGGTGATCCAAGTGGCTCATGGGAAGGAAAGTGTGGGCCAGACTCCCTGAGAATCGAGGATACCCTGGAGCTGCTGAGATGGATAGCAGAGAGAGGGAGAGAATTGATAAGACAGCACAATAACCACCAAGATGCAGTTATCCAGACTAAACCAGCATAATCCTTCAGGTCCAATGCAGCTGGTGGTGTTCATACGCAAATAAGTACTGGCTCTGCCTGTCATGTTTGCCTTTCCTGCCTGAGTTTAGAATGCAAACAATACGAGACAAGCTTGGGGATTGCTGTAATGTATGAAATTTGTCTTATACATATGGCTCTTTCTTTATCTCTCTCTCCGAACTGGCAGTGGCACCTCTATCCATCTGAACGGAGTGATAAGGACGGATTTTAAGCTTGTGTTTACAATAAAGAGCGAGCTGAGTGGCTGACCTTTACTGACCTATAAGGGGGGTAAAAGGTCATATGGATGTCGGGCCTGTAAGCCAGTACACCTGGGCTTATTACACCGAGCCCATCTGGAGGACATTTACACCAAAACCAAACACAAAACACATTTTGCAATGGGACATTCAAAAACACAAAGGACTTTGAAGGTGGAGGAGAGAGAAAACATGGATTGAGATGAAAGCCTATCGCAATATTAGGACAAAGAAAAAGCATCACTATGACAACCCACTTCCACTGCAATTGGGTAACCATAACATCTAAACAAATCAATGTGAATTGATGCACTGTATAATTAATTATTTCGCTTGATTTAATAATAAAATGAAAGTACTGTAAATTACAAAAATAGGGCAGTATGGGCGTATGATGAAATTCTTTGCTGACAACAGTGCAATATAAGTACAGTTAATATTCTCTACTGAGCATATTATGTAATGTGATACTAAAAAAAACAGCCATGATTAAACCTGTGCCCTCCCCGTCTTCTCCATGCTACGCACATGAAAGGAATACGGAAAAGAAAACTAACCCACAGCCTATGCACTATTACCAAGAGTGAACCAATGTCAGGGCGGGAAAAAGAGAGAGGAAGAAAAGTACAGAGAGACATGTAGAGTTATTTTCTGTTAGTGCTTCTTTTCCAAATCATCTGACTGTGATAAAGACAGACAGGACGTCTACTGTCCAGCACCACATACAAGCATCTCAGTGACCCCTGAGTCATCTAGAGAAGTCCAGGTGTTTCATGTCTTCTTTTCCCTGCTTTTGCACCTGTCACACCCTCCAGCCTCACTTTCAAATACAACTCACAGACGGAGCGAAGGAAGGAGGAGGGGGATAAAGAGAGGAAAACATGGCTCTACAAGCTAAATGAAAGACAGACGTATTTGTGTTGGCAAGCGTGCGACCTGATCCCGGAAAGCGCAGATGCAGTTCATTTGGCCGTGTATGTGTGTGTGTGTGTGTGTGTGTGTGTGTGTGCGCGCAGCGCCGTGGTTTTAACAGGAGCTCCGAGTGTTGAATGTCTCACTTTCTGCTGGTGGAACAATGGGGCCGGTGCTGTGAGCCGGCTCTGGGGAGGGAGGAGTGTTGTGGTGGGCTTAATGACCCCCGTCTCAGAGCGGCCTCCGCATGCTCCCATCTTAATTAATGAAATGCACAGAGAGGGCAAACAGCCCTGCAATAACACAGGAGGTGCTTTCCGAGGAGGGCAATGGGGTGATAATTACATACCCTCACTTTTTCTCTCTTTTTCTTTGTTTCACCTATTTTTCTACCTCTTACTCCATTCGCTCTGTCCCCTTTTGTCTGTCTTTCTTTGCTGTCATGATTAATAAGCACACACATTTATGCCAATTCATCTACAGTGGGAGGAGGGGGGGAATCCTTTGTTTAAGCAAGACGTTTTTCTCTGATTTTGGGAGGGAGAAAAGCAGAGAGCTGTTTGGCAGTCTTTATCCAAGCTGGGAGAAGGGCTTTTTTTCTGCGGCAGCATGTTGTTTGTGAGCGTGACGATTGACGGCGTAATCCCTTTTCACAGCGTGGTCTGGCTGTGCCCGATAATGCCAGCCCGCTCAGTTTCAGCATGCCCTCCATTGGGGCGGCAAGAGGGGGACTGCTGGGCACGGCAGAGCCCATTCAGCCATTAATCTGGCCAGGACAAGGGAAGCTGCTGCTGCTGCTGCTGCTGCTGCTGCAGGCGACGTGAGCAGGGTCTTAGTGCAGTCTGCTGACTGCACAGCAGCCTCGCTCTCTTTTGCTCCCTCCACACACTCACACACATAAACAAGTCCGCATCGGCAAGTGAATGACAGAGGGGAGTTCGCAGCGCATGCCCTCCTTTCCACGGGCGGAGCAGGAGCAAGAGGCAGAACAAACAGAGCTGCATCCCAGGGAGGGATTTCCACAAGTTCTGAAGGTATTTCTCACAGCATGGTGGGTTGAGAGAAGCAGGCCGACAGGGAGGACAAAGAAGGGGGCTGGATATAGAACAGCACCTAGAGGCATAGGAGAATTAAGCCTGCTGAATTAGAGGCAGACGACAGCGTGTTACGTTTCTCAGAGAACCATCCTCTCTGCATTCCTATCCACTCCTCTTATACCTGCTCTGAAAACACGAGCCCACACGAGGCAAAATAACAAAAAAATGCAGAGGGAAATGGCTGTAACATTTCAGAGATAGAGAGATAGAAGGACAGAGAGAGAGAAAGATAGCGTGGCAGAAGAAGACCAAGAGGAGAGGAGGAGCAGGCTTAGCTGCCTGTCAGGTCCGCTAATTGAGAAAAAGTGACAGAACCATCAAGACATAGAAAGGGAGGAGGAGGGGTTTGGCGGAGGAGGGGCAGCACTGTGGTGGATCTCTTCAGGTTTGACTAATTGAAAGGAAGGGATGCAGGCTGGCACGAGAGAGGGAGGGAGAGAGAGAAAGAGAGAGAGAGAATGAAAGAGGCAGGAGTATGGAGGAGAGGAGAGGAGAGGAGAGAAGAGGTGGGTGGGGGGTGCAGCTTAAATCCCACAAAAGGAAAAGCTAGCAACTGCTAACAGAAGGAAAGATGGACAACTGAAGATAGGCTTGGAAAGGCGTATCAAACAGAAGTGGATTAGACAGGTGTGTGCAGGCAATTGTGTGTGTGCATGCATGTGTGTCTATACGTGTTGACAGAGATATGAGAGTGCGATTGTTTTTGGCATAACGTAAGAAGTCATTTGGATTGCAGCCAGCTGGCCTCAGGCCTGTGAGGAGCCCGCAGGTTTTTTGGGGGGGGTTTCATGTCCATTTTTCTTTTTTAATTTTTTCCACTCAGTTGATTCAGCGGGGTTTATTTAAACATGAAAATAAATATTTTAAAAGCTCAGAGGGCCTAATCCATTTCACCAGGTGTTATGAAAAACATTTTACATTACATTTATTAAAACGGTCAGTACACTGCATCTGTCTCTGTCACATACTGCCGCCCCCCCTCTCTCTCTCTCTCTCTCTCTCTCTCTCTCTCTCTCTCTCTGTCTCTGTGTCAGTGAGTCCACATCTCTCCTCAGAAAATGAACACCAGACAATCCCGTGTGTGGTGCACACAATGGCTGTTACTCTATTTGGCAATCAATTTAGAAGACAGAATCTGAAACAAAAAGCCTCTTTTAATCTTTGCTACCCTCTGACATCATGAAAGCCACTAATGGTTCTTGGCACTGTCACCTAACACAAATATCTCAGCATTTGTAAGACAGTATACTGTACACTTTCCTTTTCCCAACACAATAAATCTTTTAAGAAAAAAGTTAGTTTTCTGTACCAGATTTACCGACTCCCTCTGCAAAAGTTATCTTGACCCAAAGGACCTTCCCACCACTGTTATGTGGTGATGTTATTTATAGGTTTGCTTAACGTGTCACTCAGCTAATGGTTTGTCACTCATGCTCCCTGTAGAAATGTGGTTTGTATGCATGACTTACTGGCCCTCATAACATATCCAAAAAATGTCCACACAAACGCCTGTGCTAATGCAGATTAAGTTGAAAACACATCTTTTTCTCTCTGATTTGGCCTTCCAACCCCAGAAACTAAGCTTTGGCTAATTGCAGTAATAGGTGATCAGGTTTTGCTGCAAATCCAGATTCAGTTTCATAATCCAGGAACACAATTGCAGGTTTTTACTCATGCACTTACTGGAATAAAAACATATTGCCCACATGTACCTTTTGATTGTCAATCGCTGTGTGAATTTTGTTGCAGATCTAAATCCAAATGAAGATTATTCTTAAAATAAAACATTCAGAGAGGTCTGTGTGAAGGCACTCCCTATTAGTTTTCTAATAATATATTTATTTGGCGTCTTTCATCTCCACCATAATTCCATTTCAAAAGCCTGTGATAATTATCGTATAGAAAAGGAGAAATTGTCCTTAATTGACTAAACTAATAAAGGTCTTTTAAAAAAGTGTTTATCCACACTAAATGACTGGTTAGCAAGTGACTAATGAGATCATTGTTATCTATTGCTCGATACGTGGTCGATTTTAGCTCTTTAATCTGTAAGAAAATGTGTCAGAAGAATAGCAGAGACAAAGACATTCTGCACCATGACAGGTATATGCCAGCGACATGAGGATCATACAGTAATCTTTGAATACAAATTTGAGCTGCTATGCTTGGATTTGCATGCAAACAGCCACTTTAAAAACACACTCGCAAAAGAAAAAAAAAAATCTGGAGAATATCTTTAAGGTTACAAGTGACACACTAATGCGCCGACACATACACACACAAGTCAGTGCCTGCTCTGCTGCTGGTGGGGTTCTGCTGACACCCGGAGAGAGGAGGCGAGAGTCTGGGTAATTGTGCCGCTCATTTTGATGACTTGCTTTTTATGCAAAACAGGAAAAAGACAATATGCAATTATCTTGAGGAGGGAACAGCTGAATGTGGTTGATGAACAGTCTGGATTCAATCATGCTCTTAGTGCGTTATATGCAATTAAACTGCAATAGAGATAATGGCCTCCATTGCCAACTGAGTAATAATCCCAGTCATAATCACCTCCATTACTTTTATTAGGCTTGGCATTATCATCATCACTCTTATTAATATTATTCTACTTTTCCACAAGAAGAACATCTTTGACAATGAAACCCTGAAACTATAAGGTAAAAGAAACACGGATGATTAGAAAATGAGTTTGAGGGAAAATGTTTCAGACTGGGCTGATGCGAGAGTCTCATCTCATTCAAATGTATTCTTCCTGAAGTCTGGAGTTTCATCTATTCTCACCACTGTAGCAGCTGTCCACTGACTCAACCCCTGGTGGCCAGGATGTGCAAGCGAGGTGGGGGGAAGGGAGAAAGTGGCTGGGAGGCATCCAATGGCTAAACACACTCAAAAAAAATAGACAGCATCTCAGCTGCACTGCACCCAATCAGCCCCAGCCACAAATCACGCAACTGGGGCGCCGCTGATCAGTGACCACAAATAACAAACACTCCCCACTGGCGTTCCCCCATGGACTAACAGCTGGGCTATTCTTAGAAAATAAATAAATAAATACAAGAAGGCTGAAATAACAAGAGTCCATCAACTTCAAAGACTGTGGTTCACTAGACGGCGTTGGGCAGCCATCACACCGTGTAATTAGCAAAAGATTATGAACATGTAAATCTAAAAGTGACAGAAGTGAAGTCACAGGAAAGCAGACCTTGCATTAATATATCAGTGGGTGGCATTAGATAGGTCTCACATTTATCCGTCATCCTTAGCTTTTGAATTCTCGAAATACTCTAGCAGATTAATCTCTCTACTCTATCCTTGTCTGACTTCCTGGCTGTATTTTTAAGCAGAAATGTGAGGTGTTCAACTGAGTGTCTCTCTGTGTGTGTGTGTGTGTGTGTGTGTGTGTGTGTGTGTGTGTGTGTGTGTGTGTGTGTGTGTGTGTGTGTGAGTGTATGTGTTTTTATTTTCCTGACTGTGCACATATGTGTTTGTGTAGCCAGGGTTTTGTAATGCTGAGCGTTGGGTGGGAACCACCCTATTAAACTGTGATGGAGACACCAGCTGAAAGCTCTGCAATCACTGCAACTTTTTACAGGCCCGCATTTGTGCGTGCTGCTTCAGAGAGTCTTGAGTGACATTCCTGCTGACGTGAATCGAATACCGCAAGATTCTTTGGCTGAACTTTTGACCCTGTGTCCCCAATCCAGAAGCCGTGGCATAGTGCTCCATCCCAAACATTCTGGGCCTGGGCTTATTTTGGTGCACAAATAAAAGGGCAGCAGCCTGGCTCTTCCTAGATGATTACAAGCCGTGCTTTGGTGGAAACCTAACACGACTTAAAAATACACAATATCACAGCAACAATACAAAGCTCTGTCCCCAATACAGCCAAGACATAAATATCTCGTCATCCAGACAATGTGGTCAGATGAGGGGGTGAGGCTGTGGGCGTGTGTTTGTGTACATGTGTGATTTGAGGTACCTTCATGCGAATGGGGAAACCAGATTTGCGAGGCGCTGGAGTGGGGTCCGCCCCGGAAGGAGGGTGAGGAGGGCGAGGAGGGCGGCCGGGAAGGGTGAGACGGGTGGGAAGGGGGGGTACCCAGACTACTGGCCAGAAAGGTCCCCATGAAGGAGGCGGAGGAATTGCCCATCAATCCACTGCCTGCATTCCCACAGGGACAAAGGTAAGCAGAGAAAACATGGTTAGAATTAGAGGGGTGTACACTGTGACCATGAGTTTGACCATAAAGAAAGAAAACTGCATCAGATGTAGATGAAAAAGGATGGAGCCCAATGGCCCCTCTAGGTGGAATCATTAAGCCAGGCAGATTTGATCGCTGCCCTGGAGAGAGGGTGAATGAGTGAGAGTGTACATGTGTGTGTGAGTGAAAGAGTGTGAGACTCTCCTCCCCCTCACTGACAGCAGAGTCCTCTCCCCTCGCCTTCTCTCCCCTCACGCCGCCTCTCCCTATGGGCAGACAGAGGTCTCATCTCACAGCTGAGTACACACTTTCTCAGGCTCTCTCCCTCTCGCTCTCACACACTTTTGCTCCTGCTCCCCAGTGTCCCTTTCTCAATTTCTCTCCCTCCCTCCATTATCTTATGCTCTCCATCTCTCACTTTCATGCCCTCAATCTCTCTTATGGCTCTGCTCCATTTCACCTCCTCTCTGTCTCTCTTTCTTCCATTCTTCCTTTCTCTCTGCATGATTCTGACAATCCTGTACTCTTACTATCTCCTTTGGTTCCATTTTGGTGTTTTACTACTTTTCTTTCCTCTCTCTTGTCACAGTGGCCCTTTTCTATCTTTCACTTCCCTGTCCCATTGCGATGAGCAGAGATACACTATGTGAATGCCTCTTCACTCATTGTCTCTATTTTCTTCCTCTGTCCCTCTTTCTTTCTGACACATAGCATTGCTTTGCTTTGTTCTTTACCATAATGATGGCACCAGCAGAGCAATCTGTCCCCGGCTGGCTGAACTGTGTGTTTAACAAGACTATGATGAGTAATTGACCATTCGTAGCTACGCCCGTGTGACTGGGGGCTGATTGTCTATTATGCATTGCTGGGCAAGTCGCAGAAAACACACTGATTAACCACTGCTTAAATTACATTCCCATTACGCGCCCGCCAGTGCGCTTGAGCGAGGGGCCCGGGTGCCCGGCTCTTTGCACATTCATTTCCCCCAAGTCACAGTGCCATGAAGACTCATGCATATGTATGAAGATGCCTGGATGAGAGCACACATGCACATACTTGCACAAACACACACATTGGTGTAATATACAATGTGCGCACAGGGCTAGCTGTGAAAACGAAGGGGAGAGGAACATGGTAAAAATTCATTATCAGCCCCTCGTGACGAGCTGATCTAACGAGGAACGCTGTTTGATTTGATTGTCTTTAAGCATGAATCAGTCCAAACATAAATCGATCCTTTTCTGGGAGTGTGAGAACAATTGCATGGAAGTCTTAATCAGCCAGGCAGTGAGTGAGCACATCCTCTGGGCAGACAGCAGGGATAAGTCTGCCGCTCACTCCTGCACCGAATAGCCTACGGCTCACAGGCCAGAGCACAGGAGCATGCAGAGGCGCATAGACACACCTCTGTCACACTTTGCACCACAACCCCAGACAGGTGGAAATCCCCCACAATCCCCAACCTTACAGAGCTCTACCTCGAAAACTACCTTAAAACCCAACCTGTAGGTGCATGTGTGAGTGTGTTCAAATGTCGGTCTATCACAAACTTAAAACAATAACAGTCTCCTTAGTGTTTAACTAGCACATTTATCACTGCAACACTAAGCCTCTAAAATTATAATTATTGATGTATTGATGCTGTCTTTCTTGTTTGTCATTTGTTTTATTATTATTTTATGGATTGTCTGATATAGCAGGAAACCTGCCATAAAATGTTTTTAACAATAACAACTTTTTGAGTCAATGTCAGCTAAATCAATTTAAACTGAAAAATGTGAGAACTTCCACTACTATTACAAACACTTGCAGGATAAAGCACCCAAAAATGACAAGGAAGACTTAAATCATCTTTAGGGGGCAGCCACAAAAGAATGGGTGCTATAGCAACATTGTACATGTCGGTGGGAGGTAGTATCCATGTTTTTCAGTCGCCTTAGCCTCCTTCCTTCTCCGCTGCCATCTCCTATCACCCCTGACCCTGACGAGCACTCCTGGCAGAGCTCTGTGGAGTGCTGGGTGGGGTTGAGGCAGTGGGGGGTGGATTTGTGGCTAGCGTGCTCACTAGGCATACATCCAGCCCCTATCATCCAGACACCCAGGGCTCCTGTATGGCACCGCCCTCCACATTGCACACTCCTCGGCCCTCTCTTTCTGCCTGTCGCCCCAAGGAACCCCAGCTTGCCTCCGGCTCACATAAATCAGCTAATCCTCCTGCATTATTAACAGCCTCGCCCCAGAGAGAGAGAAAGGGTGAGAGAGACATAGAGAGTGACAGAGAGAGGCCGTGAAGCCCCTCTTCACACACCAATAGAGGAGAGAGGCTCTGCCAGAAAGACAAGGAGAGGGACAATACATAAAAAGGGAATGTCTAGATGTCAGGCAAGGGGATCTTTGAAGTTTAAGCTGATGTTACGGGAGAAGGGGATTGAAGGAAAACCTCAGGAGGTTCTCAGATCAACTCATACATGAAGACCTTCCCACAACATAACCAGTGATCCAATCTGACCATAGTGTCTGTGCCGGGAGAGAAGCCGACCATTGGTCCAATCTGAGCAGTAGTAGGTACGGAATAATAATACAGTGGCCTTCCACCTCTGTCACTCTGGCTCTTGCTGACTTCACAGCCTGTCACTCAAGAAGAACCCCTCCCTCTGTGTTTTATCTGCTGTTTGCCTCCTGCTGTGAAATATACCGTGCATGGTGCTGCACAAATCTGTCTTTCTCTTGCAGCTTTTTCAAGAATTATCATTCCACTGTTCTAGGACATGAGCAACACTCACACTGTGTTAATATGACCCCCCCCCCTTAACCCATATAAAGCCTAATGAATCAGAGGTGTCGGTGAGAAAGCACACAGATTATTAAAGTGGGCTGGTCTGCCTTGGTGTTTCAGCAGTTTCAGTTTGGGTGCCAACCAAAGCAGTGCCTAACTGGACTGGACTCACTATAACTATTTATTTAGCAGCTTATTAAATAGTGACATGGATCCAGGGAGCCTGCCACTGTTATACCACCTCCTTGTAGAAGTTGTGTATTTTCTCTGCTTGATTTTTATTTTTAAACCGTGTTTATTTATTTCTCCGGTTCTAAAGTGGTGCCAACAGTGCACTTGCATGGGCTCTTAAGAAAATCGGGTCATGTGCATCCTAATCGGCGCCGATCCCTGACAGCGATGGAGATTAATCCTATTAGAGAATTAAAGGAGAGGGGAGCATTGGGATGGGGGAACCCCACCTCCCTCCCTGACATCTAAACATCCCACCCTGACACCCTTACTCACACAGTTGTGTTCAGCAGGTTCAAAGTACAAACACAGAAACAAACACACAAATATCCCAGAACCTCTGGAGGTGGAGGTGTTAAATAGTGCTACTCCACCCACGCTCCAGTGTGGGTGGAGTAGGATGAAGGAGTCCAGTTTGTGCACAACAACCAAAAACACAAGCATGCACACACAGTAATGTGGGCCTAGGCAGAGGCTCCCGTGTACGGCATCAAGTGAGCAGCAGGCGGGGAGGCGGAGCAGGGAGAAAGAAGGCCCAGTTGTCATGGGAACGAAAGAGAAACAGCGCTCGAGGCAAGGAGGCTGAATGCTAGCCATTACAACAGCAGTGGGCAGATGCATTTGGACAGCTGATCAGAAACAGCAGCCCTCCCAACCCACCTTCAAACCCCACCCAACTCCTCCGCAGCTTGTAAACACACACACACACACACACACACACACACACACACACACACACACACCACACACACACACATACACATACACAACACACACACACACACACCTTTCTCCAATATTTAATCTGGTTTCAATTGTTAGGTTTCAAGGGAAGGGATGTGTCATAATCTTTTCCCGGTTTGGGTCACTAATCTTCTCCAATGAGCATCCCTACCCATTAATATAACTCAAGGGTGAGTGGTTGTTTGGTGTCTTAACAAGGAATTAAACAATAATAGGATGTAAAGGGATTCGTCTAAATGTGGGCCAAGCAGTGATGGGAAAAAAAAGCTAAGAAGACAACAGGCACCCTCCCACAACACGTTGTTCTTTTGAATGCTGGGAATCAGATCAAAATTTCCTCCTGGAGAAATACACACCCATTCACATGCACATGTGTGCTTAGGCACGTAAGTACACACACATACACACACTCGCGTAGGTCTAAGACTATGCCTATTGTCTACAAGAAGATAAAGTACAATTATTACACCGTGCATCATATTTCCCTGTCTGCTCTTGAAAAGTGAGCCAAGGTATTCTGCAGCTCTCTGTCTTATCTGCAGACGGCAGCCTGAAGGGACGGATGGACTTGTCGTCTAGACAAGGACACCAGACAGACAACGAGAGATGAGAGTGATGGTGACAAGAGAAGAAGAGAGGCAGAGAGAAAATTGCAGGTGTGACTGCATCAACCTGTTCTCCACAGCTCAGTGATCAGCGAGTGCCAGAAAGGGGAGGATAGAAGAAGAAATGCCAGGAGAGATAGAAACACACACACATGCACACCATTCGTTTATAACACCTCCTATCACACGAAGAGTGAATGAGCACAAGCCGGTTGAGGTTGCACAGTCAGCGGTCAGTGCCATGTGGCAGCCAGGCTCTGTAGCTGTTCACTACGCGCACTGAATGATTACAGCTCACATACTCTCCCCCTCTGTCATGTCCTGTGACAAAACACACACCCACTTCCTTCTTGTCTCAAATAAATCAAATCAATATCAGCAAGAGTTAGATGATCAAAGAGAGAACAAGAAACTTTTCTTTTTCCAAGATCTGCTCAAAATCCAGTGTCTAATAGAAGTAACTATTGTTGACAGTGCAACAATAGCCACACTAACCCACAGCAAGACAAGACACCTGAACATGTATTGGTTACATTAGAATGAGATTACTGATCTCAAACAAAGTTTACTTCTTCAAGCCGTTAAGAATTTCTGTGTTTATGTG